GAGATTTTCACTGTAGGGCGCGTGCGCTCGCCAGACAGACAGAGAGAGACATAGAGACAGAAAGCGAGAAACCACCCCCCCAGGGGGGATGGTCACGCCACAATCCCTTCTCCTCCATTCTCCTCTCGGGATCTTGGGCATGACGCACACGCGCCCAGCGTGAGTTTTAAGCCACCGGGTCCGGGACATGAACCGCGGTCGACTACGTGGGAGTCCAGCGACATAGCCATTACACTAACTGCTGGTTCCCACAGTAGCACTCTTAAATGAGCAAGGGGAGGTAGGACTCACTCTGATCTCACTCTTTTCCTTTTTTAATTTGCAGAGGGTACCTGTACTCATTAGAGACTGAGAAAGAGAGGGAGAAAGAAAAAGAAAGAAAGGGAATGCAAGAATGGACCCTCAAAGGGGCACAGTCACACTGCACTTCCTTCTCTTCTAGCTCTCCTTCTCTTCAGGATTCAGGAAAATATGCCCAGTGTGTTCTCAAGCCACCTGACTAGGACTTGAACTACATCATGGGCCATGTGGGATCCAGCTGACTTCACCACCACACCACAGACCGGCCTCCTGACTTCATTCTTTACAGTGCTGCTCAACACCATAGGCTAAGGAATCCAAGGGATCAAGCCCATCTGGAGCTGCTCCCATCCTCAGAGACCCTGCACATCCTGGCACCAGTGCCCCAGTGCCTGCCTCCAAAGTCTGTATGGGCTTCTTCCCAGGGTTGGACTTCGGAGGGTACATGATAGGCTGCTGTGTGTTCCCCCATAAGTCCGAGGGATGGCCAGATGGCAGCTGTGTGTAGGAACATGTGCACTGAGGCTGAGAATGTGAGCTGGGCAATCACATGCATGCATGGCAGTCTCCTCACGGAGCAGAAGGCAGCGGGCTGGGAGGGAAAAGACAGGCCACTAGCAGATGTGTCCCTGGCTGCCACCTCCCAGCCTTGAATGCTGGGCAGCCTAAGAACTCTAACTTTAAACTGGTCCTTTCAATTCGTTATGAAGATATACTCGTGGAAAAGAATGTATTTTAAAATATCTAAACATAGGGTGTGTGGGCCTCCTTTTGAGTGCCAGCCCAGGGCCCAAGGCCCCACAAGTGGGAGGAGTAGGCCTACCTTACAGAAGTTCTCAATGACGGTTCAACCTTAGCTGCCCAGGGCTGAGCACCAGGGTAGGTATCTTCTGGTGAAGCGTTTCTGAGTCCCTGCATGGCCCTGGACCTCTGCAGCCCCACGCTAAGCCCCTGTCACACCAAGAGATAAGTCCACAGCCGGAGGCAGGAGAGCCTGACTCAGCCTGGCCTAGAATCTCAACAGCAAGCCCGTCTTCATCTCCACTCGTGTGCTGGGGAAAGGCTCTGGCCCCTCCAGTTCAGGCAGGTCATGTGGATCTGGCTCCCCATCTCTCACAGCCCTGCTTACCATCAAAGTTCCTGGCTGTTTCTGTTCGGAAGAAATCTCCGGTTCTACACTATGAATATTTTCTCCCTTGTTTTTAACTGTGGCTACATGCTTATTCATTCTTTTTCTTATAGCTCTTATCTGTGCAGAGCAGAAGGGGAAGTTGTCAGTGAATTTTTAATCAGTCATCTAGGCCTAGAGTGCTTTAAAGTGTGGGTGTGAAGAATACTTAGTCTCAGGACCAGCAGATGGCATAGCGGTTACATCACTGGAGCCCCACATGGCCGACCACGGTTCGATTCATGGATCCAGTGACTTGAAACTCATGCCAGGTGCATGTGCGTGTGTGTTCAGGATCCCAGGAGAAAAATGGAGAAGGAACTGCAGTGTGGCCATCCCCCCTATGGGGTGATTTCTCACTTTTCTCTCACTGTCTCTGTCTTTCTCTCCCTCTGGAGAGCACACACACCCTAAGGCAAAAACTTCAAAAAAAGAAAGAAAAAGAGGGACCAGCAGATGGCATAATGGTTATGTCACTGGACTCCCACATAGTCGACCATGGTTCAAGTCCCCCAGACCTGGCAGCTTAAAACTCACGCCAGGCACGTGTGCCCATTCATGCCCAAAACCCTGAGAGAAGAATGGAGGAGAAGGGATTGTAACATGGCCATCCCCCTGGGGGTTAATTTCTCACTTTCTGTCTCTCTGTCTTTCTCTGTCTCTTTGACAAGTCACATACCTTATAGCAAAAATCTCTTAAAAAAAAAAAAAAAAAGAAGAAGAAGAAAGAATAGTCTAGGGTCAGCAAGTGGCATGATGGTTAAGACATTAGACTTCCACACTCGGTTCGAGTCCCAGACATGGTAACTTGCTTTCTCACTTTCCCTCTCTCTTTTTCTGTCTCTCTCTGCTAACTATGAGTACCCTATAGCAAATTTTATATAATATAATAATAATGATAAATAAAATAAAATAAATAATTTTTAAAAAAAGGATACTTAGTCTGGATTCATAAAGTGAGCCAGGAAATGAGAAGCAAACCTAGAGCTGACATGTGAACACCGTTACAGCCTGGGCTGCATACGTGATCACAGCTAGCCTTCACAATGGTGAAACAAAAGTACTCTCACTTTAATAGACGTCATCACGGTGTGCAGCTCTCTCCATGGCCTTGGAGCAGCTGGTTAACTTCTCTGGTTCTCAGTTTTCCCAGCTACAGTCAAATGAGTAGGATAAGCTAATTTCTAACCATTTCTTTTTTTTTCGAGAGATTTTTGCTATAGGTCCTGTGTGCTATAGCCTTTTTTTTTCGAGAGATTTTTGCTATAGGTCATGTGTGCTATAAAAACAGAGAGAGAGACAGAAAGCAAGAAATCATCCTCCAAGGGTAATGGCCATGCCACAATCCTTTCTCCTCCATTCTCTTCTCAGGATCTTGGGCACACACACACATGAACCCGGCATGAGTTTTAAGACTCCAGGTCTGGGACTCAAACCACGGTCTATGTGAGAGCCCAACAACGTAACCACTGTGCCATATGCTGTTCCCTAATTTCTAATAATTTCTAAAGGCACCTTCTCTTCTTGGTTTGTATAGGCCTATACCAGATTTTAGTACATTCTGAGGGTGAATTTCTGAACCTGAAGGCTATTTATCATTTCGGAGATAGTATCAAAAGAGAACATCCAAGGACCAGCAGATGGCTAGCAGCTTAAAATTCACACCTGGTGCATGTGCATGTGTGCTCAAAATCCTGAGAGGAGAATGAAATAGAAGGGATTGCAGCGTGGCCATCCGCTCTGGGAGGTGATTTCTCACTTCCTGTCTCTCTGTTGAGCACACATGCCCTATAGCAAAAATCTTTCAAAAAAAAGAAAATCATCCAAACCATCCAATCAAGTATGTAAAAAAAAAAAGATGACAAGCTGTAAGACATTTTGGCAAAGTAATATAATATTATTACATATACAGGAATGTGAATCATTCTCGTACACTCAAAAACAAAGTTTATGTGTAAAGAACTATGATTGCTCAATGAAAAGGAGTTGATTCACTGGAAAGAACAAGAGAGAGGAGAGAGGCAAGTAGCCACAGTATTAAGCTAAAATACTGGGTTGTTGGAAGAGTCATGACGTATTTTTCTGGTTTCTTTTCTTGGTTTTATTTTTAATTTTTTTTTTTTTTTGAGAGGTTTTCCCTATAGGGCGCGTGTGCTCGCCAGACAGACTGAGAGAGACAGAGAGACAGAAAGCGAGAAATCATCCCCCCCAGGGGGGATGGTCACACCGCAATCCCTTCTCCTCCATTCTCCTCTCGGGATCTTGGGCACACACACACACGCGCCCAGCGTGAGTTCTAAGCCACCGGGTCTGGGACGCGAACCATGGTCGACTACGTGGGAATCCAGCGACATAGCCATTACGCTAACTGCTGGTTCCCCTTTTTCTATGTTTTTGATGCAAAAATGCATCATGACTTTTCCAGCGACCCAGTATTATGTCAGCTTCAGAGACAGGCACAACAGAGCTATTTACAATAAAGAAGAAGTAACTCTATTTCAGTGAACGAAAGTACCAGGAAAACTTTAAGTCTGTGAAGTTGCGGTACTAAGCAAGACATTTCAATAGCAACACTTGAAACCACGGCTGCACGCAGTTAGTACCGTCACCTGCAAATATTCAACAGAATGATCCACTCACCCCAGGTGAGAGTGGCCAGGGTCAAGAGCTCAGGGATGGAGTCCTGACACACGACATATTCTGGTGAGTACGGATCTGTCTGAACATCAGCATCCCGATAGTCGGTCTGGGTGCCCACGGTACACTTTGAAGGTATGGGTGGACACTTAGTAGAAGCAGGAGGAAAACTGTATGGTTCTGTCCTAAAAGGGGGAAATTAGTTTAAAAATTGAAATCTGATATGATCACTTAAAATACTACATGAGCAAGTAGAAATATATCCTTGAGTTCCCCTTTTAATTGTTGACAGGCAGGGACCAGCAGATGACATAATGGTTATGTGTCTGGACTCTCGCGTAGTGGCCCATGGTTCGAGTTTTAGACCCAGAGACGTAAAACTCAGGCCAGGTGCATGTGTGTGTGAGAGCAAGATTCCAAGAGGAGAATGGAGCACACACGCCCTATAGCAAAAATCTCAGCCGTCCCCTGGGGGGTGATTTCTCACTTTCTGTCTCTCCAACAAGTGCAAGTGTCCTATAGCAAAAAAATAAATAAATTAAATTAAAAAAAAAATAACCTCTTTAAAAAAAAAAAAGGCCTTGACAGGCACAAAGTTATGTGACCAATGTAACCAATGTAACCAGGAATATGCCAGAAAATCTTGAGAATTACCTTGTCATTTTCACTTCTGCCAAAAAACCGAGTACAAATACCTCAGTCTACTCACAGAAGTGTCTATTTTCCTGTGTCACTGGGCAAGGCTGCAGTATGGAGTCACAGAAGTGGATTCCACAATAGAAGACTGTATGGCACTTACGGGCCTGTTCAGGACTGTCGTCTTTCCTGGTCTCCCTCCTCTGTGCTTTCAGTCACACCCCCACTTACAGCTGTTCCCCTCCAGAAATACAGGAGCAGAGAAGAAGATGGTTTCTCTTAAAAGGGAGGGAGGAAGGCAAGATCTTTCTGGATAGATGCCTCATTAAGTAATGCTGGGATAATTCGGTAAACAAGTGGGAAATTTACCTCAATCCTTACACAGAAATTAATTCCACATTTTTAAACATAAAGTTATACAGCATTATCGATTTTCTTTTTTTTTCCTTTAGAGAATTATTTATTTATTTAATTTAATTTGTTATTATTACTATTTTTTTAATTTGACCAGACAGAGAGAGAGAGAAAGGGAAAGCGAGAGAGCAAGCCAACAGGTGCAGGACTTGAACCACAGTTGGCCACGTGGGAATCCAGGGCCTTTAACCACCACACCACCTGCCAGACCTAAGTTCTCTGAATTTTTTTTTTTTGGAGAGATTTTCACTATAGGGCGCATGCGCTCACCAGACAGACAGAGAGAGACATTAGAGACAGAAAGCGAGAAATCACCCCCCAGGAGGGATGGTCACGCCGCAATCCCTTCTCCTCCATTCTCCTCTCGGGATCTTGGGCACGCATGCACACGCGCCCGGCGTGAGTTTTAAGCCACCGGGTCCAGGATGCGAACCGCGGTCGACTACATGGGAGTCCAGCGACATAGCCATTACGCTAACTGCTGGTTCCCTGAATTTTTTTAACTTTCTGCATTACTTTTAAAATAAGAGAGAGGGACCAGCAGTTAGTGTAATGGCTATGTTGCTGGACTTTTCCATACTTTTATTTATTTATTAGGAGAGAAAGAGAGAGAGAGCTCCCTTTCAGGGTCTTGCCATGCTGTGATCCTCCTCCCAGCCTTCCAGCCAGCCCGGCACACCCATGGGCACATCCTGTATGTTCACATTGACCAAGGATCTGAGCCCTGGGCCTGTTCTTATGGCAGGCTCCAGTTAGCACACCCTACTACCTGAGCCACCGTGGCTGGGCCTCGCTCCAGATCTTTTACATATTTAATGTAAAATTAAGACTATAAAAGTACTAACAGGAAGCATAGGTAAATAAGTATATCATCCTTGAGTGAAGGTCTTCTTAAGCATGACTCAAAAGCTAGAAACTGCAAAAAGAAAACGATCAATAGAATTGAGGAAAATTTTCAACTTCTGTATCTCAAAATATCACAAACAAATTTAGAAATGAATGGCAAACTTGGAATTAGGTTTTGCAACACATATGATAAAAAGTTGAATAGTCTTTCTATATAAAAAGCCCTTGTAAATCAATATAACAGTTGAACGCCCCACACAAAATTGGCAAAAGACAGTTGATAAAAACAAAAAGTAAAAATGTGGGGGACAGTAGGTGGTATGATGGTTAAGGTGCTGGACTCCTACATGGCCAACCATGGTTCAAGTCCTGGACCTAGTGGCTTGAACATCACACAGGGCATGCATGCATGTGTGCCCAAAAATCCCAAGAGGAAAATGGAGGAGAAGGGACTGCAGTGTGGCCATCCCCCTTCTCATGTTCCCTCTCTCTGTCTGTCTGGCAAGTGCACATATTCTACAGCAAAAACATAAAAAAAAAAAATTTTAACTATGAAAATATAATAAATAGAGCTAATAAACAATAGAATGCAAATTAAAATATCAAGATATATGATATTTTATCAAGAAAGCAAAGAGTTAAAAAATTGAAAATATTTAGCATTGATGAAGTTGTGACAAAACATTCTGATAAACTGTTGCTGGAAATAAAAATAGATATAACCTAACTGACAGATAATTTATCAATATATACTAAACACTTGCACTACCCTTTGCCCAAGCAATTATTCTCCTAGGAATTTACTCTAGGAAATACTTGAACAAATATGTGAAGATATAGATGCAAATATGTTCATAAAGTCTCATTTATAAAAGTAAAATATTTGAAACGTAAATGATCACCATCAATGTAAGAACTGTTTTTTAAAAAATAACACACTCAAAATGGAATATAGTGATTGAAAGTAATGCTGTAATAATATTTATGAGCAATCAAAAATGTCCATGATTCATTGTAAAAGAGGGAAAACAGAGCACTATTAAGCAGTGTGGATGGTAGGAGTCCGGTTCCTGTAGTATTCACACAGTGGCACATTACCTGTGCTGTGGTTTTATGTGCTGTATTTTAATGTATAGAAAAATGCATAGACAGATATACAATAAAACAATAATCATATATAATTATTTCTGGATAATAGAATTACAGAGATAATTTTTTCATCTTTTTAGTTCTCTGAATTTTCCTTTTTTTCTTTTAGAGAATTATTTATACTGTTTTTTTTTTAAATTTGATCAGACAGAGAGAGAGAGAAAGGGAAAGCAAGAGAGCAAGCCTCCAGGTGTGGGACTTGAACCACGATTGGCCATGTAGAAATCCAGCACCTTTAACTACCATGTCACCTGCCAGACCCAAGTTCTCTGAATTTTTTAACCTTCTATATTACTTTTAAAATAAGAGAGAGGAACCAGCAGTTGGCGTAATGGCTATGTCAAAGGACTCCCGTGTACTCAACTACAGTTCAAGTCCTGGACCCAGTGGCTTAAACTCACGCCAGGCATGTGTGCGTGTGTGCCTAAGATCCTAAGAGGAAAATGGAGGAGAAGAGATTGCAGCGTGGCCATCCCCCCTTGTGGGGGGGGGTGATTTCTCCCTTTCTGTCTGTCTCTCTCTTTCTGGCAAGCGCACATGCCCTATAGTGAAAACCTCTCAAAAAAAAAAAAAAAAAAAAAAAAAGAGAGAGAGAGAGAGAGAAACAGCCATTTAATAGCCATTTCATTTAAAAGAATATGTTTTGTTTTACTTGGTAGAACTAGTTATATTACATAAATAATAAATAACTAAATACAATGGCAAAAACAAAGAGTTCTTCCATCTCGAAAAATAAGGGTGGTGCTTCTATGTGAGCACAACACACACAGAAGGACATCAAAAAGTTCACAGAAAAATGGAATTCATTTTTGGTGCAAAAAAATTCTTTGAAATCCACACAGTTTTTTTCATAACAGGCATTTTTCCATAAAGTCCCCTTCATATATGCAACGTAGCTCTCAGAAAAATCCATTTCAAGCCAGTTAGCAAGAAACACCTATTTGGAGATTTAACTACGATGGAACAAGTACTTTAAATTGTTTTGATACTGGAGTCTGACTGGTATTGAAATCACTTTTCTGGCAGTTAGCTATAAATTTCTAACATGTAGAATATAAGATTTCTTATGTTCTCAGAAGGTAATATTCTACTACAAAATCCTAGTTGGGAGGCCAGTTCCTTGGCGCAGTAAGGAAGCCAGATCCCACATGGGTGACCAGCTTGAGAAACACTCTGGGCATACGTAAGTGTGGGTGCAAGGTCCTGATGAGATGCAGTATTAGCGGGGCAAGGATTGTGGTATGACCAAGTCCTCGAGGAAGGTGCTTTCTCTTTCTCTCTCTCTCTCTCAGGCATGCCCTCTGGTATTAGGGGAAAAAAAATTCTAGTTGAGGAAATAACCTCAAATTGGTTTTGTATCATCCTAGGTCACATGAAATTGTATTATACTGGGTTGTCAGAAGTCATGACGTATTTTTTTGATGCAAAAATGCATCATAACTTTTCTGACAACCAACATTATCACACCATTAGCTTGAATCAAGAGAACAGATTATTGTTTTTCCAAATTAAATATAATAATTACAGATTTGAACCATGTGATCACATGTACTTAGAGTATGATGAGGCCCCATAAATCCTTGTGCCAAGCTTTCTGGTGGCTTAGTACTTACTAGGTGGCTCAGATAAAAGGGTGCAAAAGAGGAACGTGACTTTGACAGAACTCCCACGGCTATGTGACTGTGACGGGGCCATGCAGACAACACAAGCTGGTAAAGAGGCTGCCTCCCATGCCTAAGGCAAGGCCTGCGCTGGGAAGAAACTGCGAGGCAAGGCCGCCAGTTGATGAGCTTTAAAACTCCATTGTGTCGCTGTACTGGCCTGCACTCAATTTCTCTGCCGTGAGCTTTACTGTTATTATGGTACCTGCAAGGGTTAAATAACACTCCCAACCTTACTGCAACTTTACAGTAAAGCCAATTAGTGATCCTGTAGGAATGCGGTTTCCTAATTCTGCACATGAGGATCAGCAAACTTGAGACAGACTCCCCCACCTGCCTGTTTTAAACCAAAATTAGCATATGTTAGGTTAAGTTAGTATAAGCCAAATTAGCGTTAGTAGCATATGTAGGCTAAGTTAGTTTAAGGCTAATTGTACGTAAATGCCCCTTGTTAAAGCTACAGGCCAAAGTTAACTTACATTAGGCCAAGTTAGCACATCCACCTCCATGACAGGGACTCAAAGATAAAGCACAAGAATTCACTGATTAACATACAAAGAATTCAGCAAATAAAATACAGGGACCAGTGGGTTAATAGAGGAAGGACAGATCTGGCTAACAACGACAGAATAAACAAACCTGAAGGCTCCAGGGTGAAGAGTAACTATCTTAGCTGGAAGTTCTTACCTGGTTCCGGCAAGCAACAGAGAGTCCCTAACTACAGTTTCTCCCTTGTGTGCTGTTAACTATGAAAAACTGCTAATAAGACATCCTGTGTTGTCTCCTGAGATACAAGACCCTCTCACCCGAAAAGGCCCTGTCCGGTAATCAAGATTTAAGAAGAAAATGCACCAGACAAATAGACTCCTTCATCCTGAGAACTGTAATTGATTACACCTAATCAAACAAGACAGACATCATGTTTTATGATCATTGTACCTGTACTTTGAATACTCCATTTCGTAGAGTAAATCTTTTGTTTCCCCCTCACCCCTCCTACTCCTGTAAGACATCCCTCAATAAATATGTGTGTTTAGTAGCCGCTAATGCTGCAGTCTGGAGCTGGCTCTGGCTGTAGTCGGCTGAGAACATGCTAAGGAGCATTGAGTTTTCAGCCTGATTCTGTTCACCCATGTCACCTTCCCGTGTACGAGTCTCAACCCACCCCGGCTGGAGCAGGGCTTCTGGCAGCTATGTAATACACAGTTTCCAAACTTAGTTTCCAAACTTAGTTTCCAGTCTCCATTGATTTTAGGGGAGAGAAAGAGATGACAAAGAGCAAGAGTCCCTTTTCCAGCTCCTCCCCAACCTTGATCAGGACCCAACCCCAGAAAACCCCATCTACCTCCTGTGTGTGTTGACCTCAGCTGTGTCCTGGCTCAGTCCTCAGACCACAACCTCCGGCTTCTATGTGTCCTCACATGCCATGTTGCTCTAGCCCCTCTGTCCAGGCCCTTCCTCCCGCACATAGCCCACGCCAGGAGCTTACACCAGCTGCCTCACCCCAAGTCTTCTAGAGTTCTCTCCTGGCCTCAACAAAGAGGGGCCTCAGAAACCTAGCAAATTCTGTTCTGTTATCATGAACCCTATATTAGAGAAGAAGAGAAATGCAATGGTTCCAGAACACCATGGATCTATGAACGCTGAGTGAATGAGTGAATGCATGCTCAGCAAATGTGGCCTTCCTGCATGCAAACAACAGGAGCCCATTAAACAGGTGTGTGATCTTGATAAATGTATTTTTCCAGATCCCAAGGTGTTCTGTCTAGCCCCTGGTGTCATTTAGTCTTACCCCCTAATCAATACCCAAACCAGCATGTTCTGGAAATCTCCCTATTTTTCTAATTCTCTAAAAAACAACTTTCTCTAAAAAGTAGCTTTTCTTCCTCCTTTGCCCTAGTAAATACAGAGGACAAGAGAGGTTTAGCAGGCACTACCTGGTATGGCCTCTCCCTCTCGATTCAGATTTCTGTGTCTCGAACAGTTATTCCGTGTGCGCTTCAAGTGACTCTTGGGTGGTCAGAAGAGTCACAACCCCATAATATGAAGGTTTTAAAGTATTAACTTTTATTAACTTCTTTTTTTCTTTCTTTCTTTCTTTTTTCTTTTTTTTTTTTTTTTGAAGAGGTTTCCTTTTCTTTTTCTTTTTCTTTTTTTTTTTTTTTTTTGGAGAGGTTTTTGCTATAGGGCACATGCGCTCACCAGACAGAGAGACAGAAAGCGAGAAATCACCCCCCAGAGGAGATGGCCACACCGCAATCCCTTCTCCTCCATTCTCCTCTCAGGATCTTGGGCACGCACACACACGCACCCGGCATGAGTTTCAAGCCACCAGGTCCGGGATGCGAACCCTGGTCGACTACATGGGAGTCCAGTGACATAGCCATTACACTAACTGCTGGTCCCAAGTATTAACTTTTTATCCTCTTAGCCAAGAAGCTTATACAGCATGGAAAGTAAAGACTCCTGTAGCTAGCCATGAAGAATGTGGCTGGAGAAGGCCAACGGGTCCCCAGACACTCCTCCCTGCTGACACAAGGTGACATTATCCTCACTGCTCAGAAACTCAGACCTGCCAAAATTAAGACCGACTTTACTCAGGGATACTGATTCGTTCCCTAACACCTAAGAGACACGGAGGATCTATGATGCCGATGTCATGGTTTAGCTCTGACAGGAATCTCTCTCCCTTACATCACGGTTATTTAGGAGGGAATTGGGGAGGCCCAGGGCTCATCCCTGGAGGTGTCGGAGCACCCCAGTTTAATGTTTAGATCTGAGGTGATTATGACCTGCAAATAGGAGATACGGTGAGCCTGCCCGGAAGAATTACAGGGAGATCCATAGTGATCCACTCATCTCGTAGCTCCTGCTTTGCTCATAAGAAGCATATCATAGAATGCAAAGGGACTTGGACTGGGGAGAAATGTTCACATATTGAAATGTTCACTTTCTAAGCTAAACAATGTGATTGAATGTATATAAATTAATTAATTAATTAATACAAAAAATTGCAAGGAGACTTCAAAAAGTTTGTGGAAAATGGAATTAAAGTCCAACTTTATTTTGGTGTAAATTATTTTTTTTTAATTCATAGAGTTGGGGGCCAGCAGGTGGTATGATGGTTAAGCACTGGACTCTCTCATGTTCAACCACAGTTTGAGTCCCAGACCTGGTAGCTTGTTTCTCACTTTCCCTCTCTCTCTTTCTCTGGCGAGTGCAGATGTTGTATAAGAAATTTTAAAGTAATAATAATAATAATTCATGCAGTTCATTCATAATACCCATTTCCATGAACTTTCTGAAGACACCCCCAGCCTCACATAAGCCTGCAGCTATCTGGGCCCTTTCTGCCCTCTGCCTTCCACCATGTAAGAACACAATGTTCGCCCATTCTGCCCCGTGAAGACACTACGAGAAGGGCCTCACTGGACAATGAATGCCAGCATCTTGATTGTGGACGCTTAGGCTCTAGAGCTAAGGGAAATAAATTTCTATCATTTATAAGTTTCCCTACTTTTTGATACTTTATTACAGCAACACATAGAGACTAAGCCAATGACTCATGGTAAGAAACACCTTTTAGGGGGCCAGCAGGTGGTGTGGAGGTTAAAGTGCTGGGTCTGACATGGCTGACTCTGCAGTTTGAGTCCTGGACCCAGTGGCTTGACAATCACACCAAGTACATGTACATGCATGCCCAAGATCCCAAGAGGAAAATGGAGGAGAAGGAACTGCAGAGTGGCCATCCCTCCCGGGGCAGCAATTTCTCAGTTTCTCTCTCCATCTCTTTCTCTCCCTCTGTGTCTGGCAAGTGCACATATCCTATAGCAAAAAAAAAAACACACAAAAAAAAAACAAAAAAACTTGAAAAAAGAAAGAAAAATCTTTTAAATTATTATTCATTACATAAATATATGTATTTATCTATCTTAGACCCACAGCCTGAAAAACACACGGAGAAGATGAAGAAATGGAACAGCAGGGGTTGCGGCATGACCATGCCCCATTGACGGGTGCTTTCTCCTTTTCTCTCCCTCTCTCTCTACCTCGCTCTGGAAAGTACACACACCCTTGGGCAATTTAAGTAAATAAATAAAACTTTTAAAATAAACATAAAATTACTTACGGTCAACATACTTGAAGCTTCGGCTATTTTCTATAGTTACATTTTTTTCAAAATGCTGCTCATGCTTCAAAATGATCCATTACGAGATTTCACACCTCCTAATGACTTGTGATCCACAGTTTGAAAAATACTGACTTAGACAACTATCTTCTCTAAGCAAATATGGAAGCAAACAGATAAAATAAACTAAAACAGAAGTTTTTAAATAAAGGTTACTTACTTGGTTACAGCAAAAAGGACGTTGAATGGCATCTGTTGATGAAATGGAAGAAAAGGCCTGAGAGGAAAGGAAGACAGAGGGTGAGGCTCTGGCACTAAGCATTCTCTAAGCTGCCTTCCAACCGGTTAAATCAAAGCGCTTGCAGATCCCAAATACCAGGAATGCTCAAACTCTGGCTTCAGCTAGCCCCTTAGTTCCCAGCAACTTCTCAAGTTCCCCGAGACGTTGTGAAGTTCTCAATAACTTAATTAAAGCTTCTCCCCAAAAGTCTAGGAATTAAGTATAATAGAGTTTAACAGTTCTCTGAAAAAATCAGTATCACAAATTTTCCGTGAGAACGATGCTCATAAATAATCATGTGGATTAGAAATTTATTTTCTCAAAGAAGTTTACACAGATGTGGTATCCAAACTGCTTTTCTAACTCAGGAAAGACATCTAGGGAATTCCCGTCTTCTTTTTATTAGACCTGCCTATACGTTATCACATGAGTATTAGTCACAAATGAAATAAAGTAAATCTTTTGACCTTGTTGGCTTTGGCAACATTCATATAAAGAGAGCAAATATCATCCATTTGCACACTTTCAATGATTCTCATGGCACCAGCAGATGGCATAACGGTTACGTCACTGGACTCCAACACAGTTGACCACAGTTTGAATCCCAGACCTGGTGGCTTAAACCTCACACCAGGTGCGTGTGCATGCATGCCCAAAATCCCCAGAGGAGAATGAGGAAAGGATTGCAATATGGCCGTCCCCCCAGGGGATAATTTCTCGCTTTTTGTCTCTGTCTCTCCAGTGAGCACACATGCCCTATAGCAAAACTCTCTCTTAAAAAAAAAAAGAAAGGTATGAACAATTTTCCTTGCACCATGACTTCATACTATCTCTGCTGGACCTCACTTCACTTAATGACATCATTTTGCTCTCAAATACACATTCTTATTCACAGTTAGTACCTCTGAAGTCAGGCAGGCTTAGCTGGAATCCCAGCTCTGCCTCTTGCTAGCTAATGTGACCTTGAGCAATCGTGATCTTGAACAATTCACTTCTCTTATAGTCTCAGGTTCATCAATGGTTTTTATCATGGGGCTAATATATATTCCGTCCTACACTTCTGTTTTGAAGACTACATGACACACATGTAAAGCACCTAAAATGGTGTGCTATATGCACTTAAAAAAATGATAGCTGCTGTAATTATCATAAAGAAATTCTCTATTAATACCAGGGCTCATCTACCTGTCGAAATATTTATAGCGATTCTTTCCAGTAACTTCAGGATCTTCATAAACTTCTTTAGGCATCTGAAAAGAAGTGTCAGTTCTAAAATGAAGCAGGAAAACATTATTCAAGTCTAAGATATCATTTCCACATGTAGTTTCTATTCAGTATTTCTAGGCCTACAAAATAGATACACAGAGTACCTCATACTGAGAACAAAGTCTTATGTAATTTGCATCAAGAGTGTTAGACTAGATAAGATTACTTCCCCTGAGCCAGGAAACAACTTAGGAAGAGGAAGTGAGAGTTGAGAAAAGAGTAGATTTAAGAAATCCCACACAGAAAAATGCCCCGCTTTAAATTAAAAGCATGTAATAATAACAAAGTTTTTAAAAGACACTTTTTAATGCTCAGGCTGAAAAACATGTATTGATAAACTTACTATGAACTTGTCAGCAAGTTAAAAGATAAGCAATTCAAGAGACTTCTCTTTGAAGGTGCTTTGGCTGCAAGTTTCCAAAAAATAGATTACAGATACCACCAGAAAAGAGCATTTGTGACTTCTAAAATGGATCAAGGGAACAACAAACTTGGTGACCTCTACCCTTGGTGGCAAATTACCATTTAAGATGCACGTAATTCATGCCAGCCTGGGAACATCTTCTAACCAATAAACCCACTTGGTTGCTCTTTAATCAGGCTTGTTTGGGTCAAGGGGCTTAGGGAGAGAATTTGGTCGAGGTATAATACCACAGCTGTGCATTTTTAAATCACGCACAGTAAATGAACCATCTTTAAACACAAAGATATGTTCATTTAAAAACAAGAGTATTTGTAGGAGCTGGAGACCCTGACACTTACGTGGCGAGCTGCCGGAGAGCTTCTTGGTGTTTCTCCTCATGTCCCTTCCACTCCCGACTGACGAATGGTGGGATGGGATCTGACTTGCTCCAATACAGACTATATCTTGGATAATGGAACAGGCTACTGAACATGGTTCTAAACTTGGGAACTTTTCTCTAATGTTAGGAAAGATGGCAGAGAGGAAAAGGATAAAATTATACCATGAGCTTGTCTAAAACATTTTAATGATATGGTAAACTGAAGTTTTATTTATTTTATACATGATAGAGTGTGCATGTGTGTACATGAGAGAGAAAGGAAGAGAGAAGCACCCTTGATGGAGTTTTGTCATGCTCCCATCCTTTCCCACAGCCTTCTAGCTTGTCAGGATCTTGGCACATGCACGGTAATTAAGAAATTACCGGTGTGGGGGGACCAGCAGTTGGCATAATGGCTATGTGGCTGGATTCTCATGTAGTCAACCATGGTTCAAGTCCCGGACCCAGTGGTTCAGACTTACGCCGGGCGCATATGCTTGTGTGCCCAATATCCTGAGAGGAGAATGGAGAAGGGATTGCGGCATGACCATCCCCCAGGGTGGTGATTTCTAGCGTTCTGTCTGTCTCTTCTGCCTTTCTGGCGAGCACACGCGCCTTGTAGCAAAATATCTCTTAAAAAAAAGAAAAAAAGAAATTACTGGTGTGTTTTCTGGCCGACCCTGGAATCTTTACCCATGGTCAGCCAAGTGGCTTCCAGCACTACAGCTCAGCTTGCTACCAGCTGTGCCACCAGATTAGGCCTATATGGTAAATGCCTTTTTCCTTCCGTTTTTTAGTTTGCTATAGAGTGAGTGCACTCACCAGAAACAGCTGGGTGGGGAGGAGGAGAAACTGAAAATCATATGGGGAGGGGAGGAATGGCCACAAGCTTATCCCTTCTACTCCGTCCTCCTCGTGGGATTGTGGGTATGTGCACGCGCATGCATGCTCACCCAAAGTTTTTTCAAGCCACTGGGTCTGGGACTTGAACCACATAGTTGGCCATGTGGGATCCAGCCACCTTCACCACCACACTACTGGCTGGCCCTATGGTAAACTTTTTAAACAGGAACAGAGCAATGTATATAGTATAGGAAGAGGGATTACTGGTATATGCAGAGAATAAATGGATGTTCAGGAAACGGATGACAATGGTTATTTATGTGGCATGGGCTAGAGGTAGAATCTATCTCACACTGTGTATGTTTTTATACTGTTTGAATTCTCTTAACATAGGCCGATATTACTTTTCCCACTGAAATTTATTTATTTATTAACGATCCCTATTCACTGAGTGGATTAATCCTTATAATGTCCCATACATATTAAGATGCCTTGACCCCTAGTAACCATGACACAACTAATTCCTGCCGATCCTCAAATCGAGTAGAGATTTCCAGGTGAGTCAGTCTGATCAATGCAGTGAGCCAAAGTAGATGATTCAGGTTCACTAGGTCGCCTTGGTAGGTGAATTAAAACATACCATTCTGCTTCGAATCAGGTTGGCTTGGATATTGGCCTGTGCGTGATCTTTCTCACTTGACACAATAAACAATGGATCTGCAAAGTAAATAGTAAAGTAGCATAAGGAACAGAACGTATCTACTCCTAGGCTGAGAATCACAGCAAAACAATGTGATTTCCTTTTTTGTTTTTGGTTAAGAGTTACTTTATTGGGACCAGCAGTTAGCGTAATGACTATGTCACTGAATTCCCATGTAGTCAACCACAGTTTGAGTCCTGGACCCGGTGGCTTGGACTCACACTGTGCGCGTGTGCATGCATGCCCAAGATCCCAAGAGGAGAATGGAGGAGAAGGGATTGCAGCATGGCCATCCCCCTTGAGGGGGTGATTTCTCACTTTCTATCTCTCTGTCTCTCTCTGTCTTTCTGGCAAGCGCACATGCCCTACAGCAAAAACCTCTCCAAAAATAAGTAAATAAATAAAAGAGTGCTTCTCTCTCTCTCTCTCCGACATGTACACGCATGTGCTCTCCACAATGAGTAAAATAATAAGCACTTTAAAAAAATAAAAAAGAGTTACTTTATTTAACTTTATTTATTTATTTACCTTGCTTTTTTTATTTTAATTTGACCAGAGAAGAAAAGAATGAGAGAGAGAGCCAAAGGGAAAGTGAGAAAGCAAGTCACCAGATCTGGGATTTGAACTGCATTCAGCCATGTGGGAGTCCAGCGCCCTTAACCGCCATGCTACCTGCGGGCCCCAGCAATGTTATTTCTTAATTGCAAAACAAATGAGAAAGTATCAATATTGTGTAACCCATAGGCAGCTCCTGCTCTTGCCCACGCGACCCTTTTACACCGCCACAGCTGCCAGTGGAAGTCCAGGTAGACGCGTTTTCTGTGTATTTCAGGCACCTTATGGAATTGGAATGTATAAAGAAAGTCTAACAAGATTTCAAGCACAATGCCCTGGCACACTCTCTTCTCTCTGAATACACCTCCTTTTGAGTCTGTGTTAACTGCAAAGTATTTCAAAACGAAGCACCTTGTTTAGAAGCCTGCTCGTTTGCAAGTGAAGGAAGCAGTAAACATAAGAGCTCTGTCTCCAATGTGGTGCCCTGGAAAGATGCCAACAGCATGACACCTCGGAATTGGTAGACATGACAAGAAAATACCTTTTTTTTTCTTCCTCTTCTTCATATTTTTTCTTTATTTTATTTTATTTTTTGTTCTAGAGGACACATGCACTCACCAGAGAGAGATAGACAGGAAGGAGAAGAGAAAGCACCCCTGTAGGAAATTACATGCTGTAACCCTTTCTCCAACTGTCCCTCCTTTTGAGATTTTGGGCACACGTGCACACATGCATGAGGTGTTTTTCAAACCACTGGATCAGGGACTCGAAGCACATGGTCAGCCATGTGGGATCTGACTGCCTTAACTGTGAGTTGGCCTGAAAATGTCATTATTTAACAAGAGGTTCATAAAATCAGCTATACTCAGAATTATAAATATGTCGACGATGAGACTAAGTTGTTTTTTCAAAGTTCAACAGAAGAGTTCCCTACTGTCATAATTTTTGCTTATTAGGTAGAGTTTTAAAGTGACAAAGAGTATCATGATTGATTTTAACAGCCCTTAAAATCAACCAATTTAACATTAAACCCACGAGCAACCTTCAGATAGACTTGATCTTCCAAGTAGATCAAGTATCCTCTGGGGACACAAATACCTGATCAGCTAGTCTAAATGACTTGGTAACATATATTTATCCATAAAAACTAATAATTTGCTATTTGATTTAGAAATAAATCTCTATTTGGGACCACCAGTTGGCATAATGGCTATGTCACTGGATTCCCATGCAGTAGACCACGGTTCGAGTCCCAGACCCAGTGGCTTAAACTCACACCGGGCACGTGTGCGTGTGTGCCCAAGATCCTGAGAGGAGACTAAAGGAGAAGGGATTGCTACATGGCCACCCCCGGGGGGGGG